TTAGAGAGAGAGAGAGAGAGAGAGAGAGAGAGAGAGAGAGAGAGAGAGAGAGCATACAGTTTAAAAGCGGAAAAGCGGAGTGGAAAACGCATTATCGATAAAACATTTTCTTGTATCGTACGATTACAGTTTGTTGTCTGCTGTGGACGTCTGTCTTTGACACGGTCTAAAGCATTCTGACCATGCATAATTCTGTGACCAATTTGGAAACAAGTCCAAGGGGCAGACTGATCCGTGAATATGTTCAAGTTTAAGTTTACGTGTACAGGACTTTAGAGATCCCGGGACTTTGAATAATTCATCAAGACAAAGGAGGACATACAAGAAATAGATTATACTTTCGATCACGGGAAACTTTTTGTGTCTGTAGCTTTTCAAAGTTTACTACTGCCCGTTGATTGCATGATCTTTAAAAAAAATGTACATGTGTTGCGTTCCCATCGGGCCAATTTAGATCATTTAGGAGGCAAGCTTTGGCCCTCCTTATCAAAGACTCAACAAAAATTCTCCCCATTTCGGAATCAAACTCGTATCTTCTGCGTGCTACGAGGGAACGTCTGCTAACCACTACATGACCAACGCGGTTTTGGCCCGCTGAAACCACACAGGCTGACACAAACCAGACAAGCTGAAACTAACCGTTGGACTAACCTGTGAGGAACAAAAGAAATTTCTCAACTCTTCGAAATGTGAAACAGGAGACTTATTGAACTTTTTTTCTGAACTTGAATATAGGTCTACCACTCCACAAGGAAAAGTCCTTTGCGTATCGTAAATACACGACTTGAAGTGGCATGGCAAGCTTCTTTTTTTCTTCCTTTTATGCTGTGTATACTTGCACGTGTCTTGTGTATTATTTCTTTATTTTCTTTTTATTTTGTGCGGGTTTTTTTACCATTTCTTTTTTAAGTGCGTGTGTGAGGTTATCTGAGCTATTACTTCCGCTTTTCAGTCTCCTGGGCAACTGCAGGGCGTGTCAGTTCTTGTTGCAGAGATACAGAAACTACCGCGGGGAGAAAGTATTTGGGAGGGGGGTTCAGCTGAACTTTTATTCACAAGAGTGGGCTTACATTACCGCTCGTGTTTTTAATATGATCTCTTTGCCTCTCTGCTTTCAGAGTAAAACCAATAAAATAAACGTCAAAAGTGGATTTTGTGACATTTTTAAGTTTGTTCACTTACTCTGAACTTCGTCTTCTTCTTCAAGTGGCAGAACTGGGACTATAAAAAAGGCTGGGGGAGGGTATAATTAGCTTCGGAGTCATAGACCCCCTGCAATGTAAGAGAGACAGAAGTTATGAAAATAAATATTGCTTTTTATGCAACTCACTGCTTTACTTTTAGATGAAAGACCTCCGATTCCAACAGAAGCAAAATAAATAAGTTTATGGAAAGTCATGAAAGTTCTTCAGGCAACCCAAGTTAAAAATTATCTTCAGAGATTCCAATTGGAGCCAACTGCAACGAACGTCGACATGAAACCAACATAGCTATCAGAAAGGAGTATCTGTTGTTATTATCAGACTAGTTCCTTGTATTTCGCCCGATTTGTGGTTGTTGTTTTTTCGTTTCTTCAGTCCACCGGTTGATTGTTTTTCATGGGATATTCTCATTTAAAGAATTAAGATGTTAGTGAAGGGGAAAATAACAAATGAGAGTAGTAGAACTGTATGGATCATGGCATTTTAAAAATATTTTTAAGACACGGTGCTGTACAAAACAAAACTCACGCGTTCTTCAACCTCATATTGTATTTTGGGGAACAGAAAGAAGGAATGCCCTCACGAAGCCTGAACAGAGTCAATTCAGAAAGTCGTATTCCAAGTACAGTCATTCGAAAACTAACAAAAGACAGACATGGAATGCCTTCTTGTCGACCAGATATTGTGGAAAAAAGCGTACGTCAATTAGTGCCAACCCGAGTAGCATAAAACAAAAACAATTTTTTAAAAATAAATAACAGCAGGGTCAGAAAGACGTATTCTAGGTTTAGACTGTACTTATGACAGAAGAATCATACATACAGACACACAGGCAGGCAACGGGCCAGACAGACAGCAAAAGACACGTACCCTATGTAAACAGACATCCAACACCAGATCCAGATGAACAGACGAAGTTGTAAAAATGTTTTACAAGGTGTTGTAGTACCGCCCGTCTATGTTTTACCTTCACAGGAAACAAACAGTCAACAAGTTTTTTTTTAAAGCACATACTCGGGATCATTATCTGTTGATTTACGACTTTGGGAGAATCTATTAACCTATTGACATTTTGCTCCCCCCCCTCTCTCTCTCTCTCTCTCTCTCTCTCTCTCTCTCTCTCTCTCTCTCTCGCA